AAATAAGATTCAAACTTTGCCAGGTCATTTGTATACACGAAAAACGGTGCTATATTTCGTTGAAATTAAAATATTCCACAGTAAGCCTATCAAAATGTATACCCTGAAGAATGTAAAGCCGCATCTCATTTCCAATAATTCAAATGCGCAATCAAATGTAATGTCTGGTCATTAACTTTCCAAAAGGAGGTCAATAACCATGTGATTCCACTCATACATATGGCTGAAATCCCACTCAAACAGTGAATTCCCGCCGTGCAACACTCTTTGGAAACCCTTCAAATCTTGAACTATAATTGTACAGACTGATCTGCCAATTACTTAAACAATTAATGATATAACAACGCCATCAGCCTGCCATTTGAAGCTATAAATATGGTTCTGTCGTTTCTAATTGAATTTCTGATTTTGATAATTTGTCCTGATTAATGAATTATTGATCTAAATTTGAGAAGTGTTTAAATTGATTATCTTTTCGTCTAGTATGAAACTATCACGTAAGACGGAACATGTTGTATATATCTTTCATATATATTATACCAATAAGATAAGAAAAAATCAGTGGAAGGAATCAGTCCTAGGGTAGAAATGTCCGAAACGGTTTTTGAATAAAACTGTCATGATAAATTCTAGGGTAGAACTGTTCATATCTGTTCTGTGATAGAAATATCAGAATCGATTCTAGGAAAGAACAGTTCTTAATGACATAAATTACAACAGCTCTGCGATCTGAATTTGGAAGAAGGACAGTAAACTATATTACGTCTGTAAATCTTTTTGTAAATCAAATGGATTAAATAGCATATGAATAAAACATAAATGAGAGAAAAAAAGAGCGAGAAAACGTTGTTAACCAAGGCGAAGCCAAGGTTGCCTATGTTTGTTCGAGGGTAACAATCTGCTCTGTCACTCTCTCAGCTATGAGTGTTTAATTTATTATACTGAATGTCCTGTCATTACTGTCTTTAAATTTTCAATTGAAAGTAATAAAGTATTCGTCAGCTACATAACAACATTACAATCATTAGAAAAGTAACAAAAGTGAAGCAAGACGTAATTTTGGTATGTTGACAGTCTATGAAAAAGGTATGAGGCCGAAACGTAGAACTCTAGCATTTTTCTCAAAATTATTGACATAACATTAATTCATAGGTGAGGATACATTTGTGGCTGAGTATTATTATGTGAATTTTTGCACGCACTTATTAAAACAACAGTTTTATAAACCTAATCAAATATGTAACAAATAAACACGATGTTAAAAACGAATAAAGAAAATGAAATAAACTTGTTGAATTTATATATTTAACTGTATATAAATCTACCAAAAAGTGTTTAGGGATTAAACTATTAAGATCTGTTCAAGGATATAACTGTAAAATTAAGGCAACAGTAGTTAACCAATGTTCAAATAGCGTAAATGGATTAAGAAGAAACAAAATTAATGTTTTAAACAAACAACTAAGAAAATCGCATGAACTACAAAAGGAACAAGACGGGCTGTGTCGATAGAGTAATCATCTCTTGTAATGCATGCATCATCCGTCATGCGAAGTCAGTCAAAAATTGCAAGCCGAATAGACCACATTCAGTAAAACTACAGATTGGACGACTTTACTGGTAGACCACGAAAACATGTCGCTAGTAAGGTGAAATGCCGATGCATCATATCGGTTAACCATATGACCGTTCAACGTATGTACATCCCTCCTGTTTATGATGTTCGTCTAAAGGTAGAACTGTCAGATTCAGTATTAGGGTAGAACTGTCCAAAAATGATCTAGGCTAGAACCACGTCTGTCTATATAAAGTTCGTGTTCACAAATTGATAAGAAATAGTATTCAATTGACCATAGCACTCAAAAAAAGAAATAGAAACATTGCAAAAGTGATTGTCTTTATTATTGTCGACACAAAGACGTGTGTTTTTTTCAATATAGAAGATTATACCCTTTTATTTTTTTCTGTAATCCATTTAAGATGATAACGATATTAATAAACCATGTCTTATCTCTAAATATCTAGCCATTGTAAAGATATTTAAGTTGACAGCAAAACTCACTCAAAAGGAGACAACCGATTTCAATTAACTAAGATAATTACGGTGAGGACCAATGACAAGACACAACAGAATAGTATTACCAGTAAAATTGCAAATATCAAGTCGCTTGTGTAGTTAATAAGATAACAAACTAGCCGTTTAGGACACTTGGAAATTATCAAATGTTTCCCGAAGGAGTGTATATCTAACATTTCGTTTTCTAGAAAAAAGAGGAAAAGAAGAGAAACACTAATAAAATTTAGCCTTTTTTATATCTCACAAATGTCTAGTAATATGTAAACTGCATACCCTTGTTTTTCACTAGAAATATTCCAGTAGATTTTTTTATGTATGTTAAGAAATTACCAAATTGTTTATTCATTTTATAATGAAATACGTGTTTACAAACTACTCGGAAATTCAAGTTTTATCTCTACATCTAATAATGGACAATTTTATCCAATTTCCATTAAAAATGCTTAATAATTATAATTCAAATAAACCATATCTGACATTTATTAAATGTCCACTCTGAAGAGACAAGGATTGTAAAATACTCCTACTCAAAGAGAGATATGAGTAAATTAATCTACTTTTATAACACTTAAAGATTCACGGACTGGCACACTAGAGTAACATCACTGACGTAGAAGTATTGTACCAAGGCGATACAAGGAGTCGCATTAGTTTTTATTATTTCTATAATTGGAAAATGGAATGTAAAATTAGTCCCTTAGGATACACCGACTCTAAGATATTTTTGCGAGGGCTGTAATCAATAGGATTACATCTAATGCCAGTAAACTGAACAGATTGTGTACATAGAATACAGCGTGAAGTAGTGTGCAAAGACTGTCAATAAGGAAAGTCTCAATTAACAAGACAAAATAAGTAAGCAAATAAAAATCTCACTACTACATGTATTAACACGATGAAATGACGTACATTTTCCGCTCTTAGAGCTTTCTTACAATTTGACGAAAAGTACGTACGGATAACGAATCATACGTTAGACCCTGTTGAGGGATCCTCAATTTTGGCTATTTTCAAATTATGACATATCTAAGTAATCATAATCAATTGAGGCTGTCATGGGAATTTGTAGGGGTGGGTAATGATCGTTGTAAGGCAAACGGGTCCTACTAGGACTATTACACTGCATGCAACGATACAGGTCAAACTTGAATTTTCGTGTGAAATAGGAATCTCGCTAAATAGGAATCTCGCGACATACGAGGTAACGATATAATACCACCAGGGGAAAGAGATAGCTCAACAATATTTGCTAAACAAAGTCCCTGTCAGAAGAAGAAGAAATACCACTTAAAATAAAAGAAATGAAAAAAAAATCATCTTTGCATGATTTAACCAAAGAAAATACCAAGACAAATATATTGCCACCCTCCCCCCAAAAAAAAACCGAAACATACATAACTTCCTTAATTCGTTTTAAACCCCCAAAAATATTAAAATTGAAAAAATGATCCCAAAAATGTTTATGGGTCTTGTTTAATAATTTTTAAATAAATTCCCCGTCCCCTCCTGTGTAATACCGCTTGTCGCCTTGTATTGCGTACATACACCCGGCCTAGTCTATAAGCTTTCATAAGGAATCATTCTTTCAGCGTGTAATTGCGTTTTTCCAAGCATGTTTTCCGTTGAAATTCAGACATATGTAGTTCATGTATTTTCTTTCTGTCTTGTGCAAAATAATTTATTTTCAGTTTTTACTGGGCTACGTTATTCATTTTAAAAATCATCCTGTCCCCTCCCGTCGAAAATCAAATGGTCGTTCCTTACCAATCTTATACATCTTTATTAAAATAGATGGCGTTTTTGTTTACACTTGACCTTTAAACTAATGGAAAGAACTTCATAAAAAATCTTTTTTTTCCGTCTGCCAGATGTTTGTTTGGGTTTTTGCCATACATTGTTACATCCTTGTCTGGCAAATCTTGACTCTGACAATTTGATGATGGCATAGTCATTAATATATAGAAATATTAAAGAATTTTGTCGTTAACTTTAGAGTATCGTATATCAAGAAGTTCATTTAAATATTAATGGTTTAATAATTTAAAATTTAAAATGCATGCATGAACAATTCCCGCGGAAAAGTGTGTAACCATGGTTAACATGAGCATCGTATTGGACGCAAGTGTATTTCAAATCATTTTATTTTATTTTTAGATATTAGATGCGCGTTTGATTTGCAATTTATATTAATTTTTTTTAAATACCTCTGATTTGGACGATAATGCGGTTTTACCCGATAAAACATAGACTCTCAGTGTTATTTTGGGAATGTTAATACATGCTCCTTTTACGTTTGTTCGTTCCTGTCGTTAAAATGTAAGAAAATCTCTATTAAAACGTTTAACAAATGAACAACAAAACAAGGATGTACATTACAAATTTTTCTTCATCTTTCAACCTGCATCAGGACAAAAATGTCGAAATATCTAATTTTTGGTTGATATGAAATTTTACGGTGACTAAACATATTCGGCTCTTTAAATTCTACATAAAACACATTAGACTTATATTCTATTATTAATGACATTTCATTTTAAACGCCTTATATGCATTTAAAAGTTCACTACATTTAACATTGCTTTCAAACAATGAACTAAACATGACCATGTGTTGGTTGGAATTACCTGAATAGGAAAATCTAATAACATTACCGCCGTAAATGTAAACAAAACGTTATTCTTTTCTCGTCTTTTAAATATTTCCTATGCTATTCGTAGCAATTATATTCAAGGTTAACTAGAATAGGTTTTGAAATTAGTACTAAGTCGTAAGTAATGACAAATACACATGCAAGATGACTTACATTTAGGAATGTATACACATTGTTCATTATTTATTAAACTTTGTACGTATTCCTTACGAACATTGTCCTTGATGTACTGTTTTATTTAATTCCTATCTACAGACCATCAATGCTACCTTGTTACATAATATTTTGATAAAGGAATTCTTTCCAATTTGACAACAGCAAAAATACGGCAAGATTTAATTAAAATTGTTTTCATTCCATTAATATCCTAGTTAGTATCCAAACATATCTAAATGAAATGGAATATGAAACTTTATTGGATAAAACATCAGTGATTCTATATTCAAACCCCAAATTACAGTATCAGATTGTATACAGAGACGTGTAGTAGTTGATTTAATTAAAACCCGAGGAATACCACAACAGGGCTGAGTTCATGGGACGTTTTTAGGTAGGAGATATTTTCTTTACGAGTAAGGGATATATTTAATTCATTCGATTAGAAGTATTCCTTTTTATATACTGCTTTTCAAATAATAATTCTGCTGAGAATGAAATGAATGCACGGCGGCTATTTTGTGATAATTGTACATTAACATACGTTAAGTTACTGTAAATGTATATATCTTTTAAAAAGAAAATTAAAGCAAAACTAAACATGTTTTAATAAAATAATTTTGATCTTTGAAAGCATTTAATATTTTTCTTTTATATATACATATATTATATATGTAATTGATGTTAATTCAGTTAGAATTTGCTAGAAAATACTTGGATTCCTCTAATTTTAATCAGAATGTTCTCTTAGAATGCTATTTTCGCTCCATGATATTATTGATATAACAGCATAAATTCTGCCATAAGCTGGAGTAACTTTCTTAAAACTATGGTAAAAACACAAAACGATGACGATATTACTTGAAATGCAAAAGAAGTGAGACATGGTGTGTCGATGTAACGTCTTCGGCCTTACAATCCTACAATACAAATGAATGTTGCCAGTTATGTATAACACACCGAAGATTATTGGGTTAAGTCTGACTACAATATGTGATTTAAAAACTAAGAGGCGCATTGAATATACAAAACTGATGCTGATATTCGAATATAGAAATGAAAACACATACATTTGAATTATACTTTAAGTGTTAACTATAATTAATCATTAGAAGTACGAAAAGAGTCTCATAATGTTAAAACGAAAAAAAATATATAACATAAACTTTACTTAATAAGTGCATTAAGGTGGTACACAACACCTTGATTACTATTAATTTGGCTCGTTTAAATTTCATAAAATTTCGACAAAATGTTAACTTTGACCCTTTGACAAAAATATAAAAATTTCAAAACATTTAAACCAACCACTTTATCAGAAAAATTTCATTGGTTATATAGCAGTTTGACAAACACTAATTTTGATCATTGAGAAGCTTAATATTTCCTTTACAATACAACGTAATTAAAACGTTTATCTGTTTTTTACAGAGTTATCTCCCTGTAGTGTTAGGTACCACCTTAAACCAAACAGGAAGGTCCAAAAAAAACTCACCAAAGATACAAGGCTTAAAATTGTGTACACCTGGCGCGCGCTTTGTTTACTAATGACTTTGCTGGATTCGATCCGATGCTTATGCGACATTGTGGCAACAGTGTCTCCATCGTTCATCGTGTCGAGCGCCCTACACCACTATGCCGACTAGGCTATATAGAAAGAAATCTTTCGAAAGTCGAGTTATTGCTTTCCTCGTTATCTTTCAAAAATGAAAATGTATGTATCAAGATTCACAAGGAGGATGCATATTACGTTGCTGTTATTATCGAATATGATGTGAACAAAACTTAAATCCTTTTTTTTAACAAAACCATTTGGAACTTTCCGGTTTCAAGTGGAGTTTGTGTTGATCAGTCTTTGTTTTTCTTTGTTGTGCTTTGCATAGTCGTGGAGGTTGCAAATCATATATAAGGTAAGTGCATTTAAATGGTCGTATCGATCAATGATTATAAAATTATTATAAAATCTGTATGTTTTTGATAATATATGTATTCTGTTGAAGAACTTAAAGGAATAACAGTTATATATTATTTTGATCACCATATGACGTTTAAGTAATATTCTTTGTTATCATTGTTTAAAAAAGAGGGACGAAAGATACCAGAGGGACAGTCAAACTCATAGATCGAAAACAAACTGACAACGCCATGGCCAAAAATAAAAAGACAAACAGACAAACAATAGTACAGATGACACAGCATAGAAAACTAAAGACTAAGCAACACGAACCCCAAGTTGATGTCTCATTATGCCAATAACTGTATCTTTTATGGCGGTGTTTAAAAGAGTAGTCTCAAATGTATATAGTAATGGAACATTTTTGACAGTATGTGTAAGTTTACTTTGCTTGGCACAGTTTATATAATGTTAATGTAACCTCGAAGCTGTGCAATGATGTATATTGATCGTCAGCTAGCACATAATATCGCCGTGCGAACCCGGTTTTAGGGGACTATTTTACCTTATATCTACGTGTATTATGTCTAGTGACTTTGAGACGAAGAACAGTAATAAAAGTTTCTTATCATTGATTTCATCAAGTGCGTTTTGGTTTTTTGCGTCATGAATCACTAGTACGCAATGCTCCATTATTTGCGGGGAATGTTTTCCAGGTTAGTTTCAGGTATGTTTGGTCCCAGTACTATACCATCTTTTAATAGTTCTTCGGCTACAAATTATTGACGTTTACCGTTATTGTATGGTTTATCCAAAATTCGAAAACATAACGTTATCTTTTTTTTTTTAATTTTTATGATACAGACTTGGATATCCACTTTTAATAAACAAGATCCCGCATTTGACACTTTTTAGCTATTAGTGAAACTAATCAAAACAGTGTGCAATAGTTGGTCAAGTTAAAGGAAAAACTACATTATATTACATAGAATAATTCATCGACAATCCAATAGTTCATTTCACCGACTCGGACATATCGACAATTTAAGCGTCCAATTAACTCAGATTTCCGCTTCCGATTGTCAGATATGGTTATCAATCATATAAATTAATGGCAGTCTCTGCAGGGCAGATAAAACAGTTTGTATTAATGATGACATTGTTTATCAGATTGGATGGGTTTATTTATATTAACAAGCAAGTTCCTTACTACAAGAAAATTAATAGAAAATCGTTTTTATTAAGATTGAGATCAGTAACAAATGAAATTATAAGGAAAATTCATTTTCGTTGAATGATCACAAAAGTGATTCTGCTTTCAGCTGCACATATTATCTTGTATGAAAATATCCATAAGCCCGCAATTGATGATACAGATCGAGCACTAATTCCATTTTATAAAAATCATCAAACAATCAGACCCATAAATACATTGATTCCTATTTTGTGTTAGTTCATCCAAATACCTTAGGTCATCATCAAAAAGGATTTATGAGTTTTGAAAATCGGTTAAATACTTTTTTTTACTATTTAGGTAATATACGCTATTTAAGCCCAGTGGTGTACTCATGAACCATTAACCTGAGTTTTCTGTTCAAATTACTGTTATTTTAATCTTATCTTCAAATACAAATATGGTTTTGGTAATATGAATATCTCAGACGGAATAAAACTCTTTTTTTTTAATCACAAGTTAGTTTAGGTATGACAATGTATACATATTAAACGGAAAGGCATGTGTTGCACAAAACGTCGTAAGATCTTCGTATGATATGTAATAGTTTGTTTTCGATTGGTACGTGAACTGAAACGCGCGTCTGGCGCAAATACAAAATTTCAATCCTGGTATCCATGATGAGTTTATTTAGATATTTCTGCTGATGAGCGCAAAGTTAACACACGTTTATAACAATCAGTATCGAAAGAATATCCCGTTACTCAATACTGTTCACTTAAGTTGATAAAACTGCTGATTGGCTGTTTGTCCACACTGAAGGGTCACGATTTATAAATTCTTTTTGATAGGTTTACATTTCAATACTAGGAGTTAGGAATCTTGTCAGTACATGTAGGTAAAATACACCAGGCCTTTAGTTTTTCGTTTTTGAATTGTTTCACATTTTGTTTTGTCGGAGACTTTTATAACTTACTATACGTTATTCATGTTGCTCTTTGTTAAATGTTGTATAGTACCCTTCAGTTTTATAAATTTTCGTCCGTTTGTCTTTGGTGGATAGTCGTCTCATTGGCACATCTCCTTATTTTGTATATTTGTTGTTATAGGTTCACAACTTGTTTTGTTTATCAGAGATTTGCCTACGTCTTTGCTGAATCAATTAGAATCCGAACGATTTGACGAAGAGCATGAAATCATAAGATGGTAGTTTACACTTGTTGCTAAACAGATCTCTCAATTTCTTTTAACTTATAATTGTTTTATTTTCATGTTTTCTTTAATACAATTGAATGTAAGATACATTAAAGCAACCTTTTCAGTTATTGACAGTTTGTTATTACTTTTTATCTGTTTATTTTAAGTGTACATAAGCACAATTAATTAATACGTGACCTTTTTACCTGAAGTAGGTCGCCTAATTCCTCTGATGAATTGAAAATGAAATAAAGCAGTTCTCATATAACTTTTTATAACAAAAAATTAATCACCCATGGGATAATATTAAAAGAATAAAAGTACAACAGGGGAACACAAATTTGTTTGATTTGATGGCGCATAGAATGTAATTTTTATCAAACTGTTTTTCATCTCTAATTAACTGATATTTATTACATGAGTGTAGGGCAGCAGGATTTTATATTTGTATGAAAGAGCTGTGGGATGTTCTTGTCGAAGGCCATACGGTGTCATTTCGGGAAAATGGGGGAGGGGGATTGATTTCGATGACAAATCTTTTCAGAACTCGGAGAGAGTTACAGCGTGATGCATTGTACACTCACCTATCAATTTTGAAGGCTATATGCTAACCTGTGGTCGTCATTGTTTTTTATGTCTTTGGGTTGTTGTTGGCTAGCTGTCAATTCATTTGTTTTAGTGCTTACCAAACTGTATATAGTCTAGTATACTATTGTTTTAGAAAAGGGAGAAGGTTTGGTACCATTAAAACGTTTAATCCCGCTGCAAATGTTTGCACCTGTCCTAAGTCAGGAATCTGATGTACAGTATTTGTCGTCTGTTTATGTAGTTCATACGTGTTTCTCGTTTCTCGTTTTTATATAGATTAGCCCGCTTGTTTTTCACGTTTGAATGGTTTTACACTAGTACTTGTTGGGTCCCTTTATAGCTTGCTGTTCGGTGTGAGCCAAGACTCCGTGTTGAAGGCCGTACCTTGACCTATAATGGTTTACGTTTATAAATTGTGACTTGGATGGAGAGTTGTCTCATTGGCACTCATACCACATATTCCTATATCTAGTAATTAAAAAAGTATAACACAAATACCGAGCTCCACGACAATTTCAACCACTGATCAAGATTGAGAATC